GCTCTCTGCAGTCGTGTTCAAGTCTGATTTTTTCTGTATTCTTTCCTTTTTCCCAAGCCTGTGCCTTTTTCTTCTTCTCTTCGTTTACACTGTATTTATCTTCCTGCCCCCTCCTGAGTTTGGATATGTCATTGTTTTTTAAAGTTTTCAACTTGAATATTTGTTTTGGGTTTTTTTTCTTCTCATGGTTCTCTTCTGAGGTTATTTTGCCCTCCTCATCTGCCCTGTTTGCTGTCAGACTTGCTCCTCACTATTTCACTTTCCCAAAAACTAAAGGACCACTGTCATCCATGGTAAGGTCTGTGTCTTAGAAACTACATTCCCATCAATATTGATTCTGTACTCGCAGACCTCCCCAGCCGTGTTGCTGCCCCCCATGCCTTCCGTGCGCTTTCTCTGGCTGATGTCTCTCGTCCCTTCCTTTCCATCCTGGGTGGCTCTTGGCTCGCTGGTCCTCTGCCTCTATGACTGCCGCTCAGCTTCATAAATAATGACTGATACTTCAGTGGACTAGTTTATCAACCATTTTATAGCAGTAATTGCAGGTAGGCAGAAATCTGTCTTTTAGATCTTGCTATATATCCTAAAAGATTAAAAGAAAAAAAAAGAAAATGCTACTTTAACTTACAGAGATATTGTGTTCTTTTTAGCATTACCATTTGTCACCATTGCCTGTCTGACATTCAGGTGATTTTAAGAAATGGGAAACAAAAGGAGATGGACCCATTGTGGATTGCTTGGATTGAAGGCACCACAAAAAGTGAACTATTACTGCATGCCCTCACAGTTTGGAGTTCTCTGCCACTGAAAATCTCCCATGCTAAATGTCCTAAGAAGATTACGATCAACCTTTTTAATATTGCTTTTAGCTGAGCTTATTTGTAACCCTTTCAAAACACCTTGAGATGGCATGACAGTGCTGTTGCTATCAGAATCATTGTATACCCTTTACACAGTATTTTCTAAAATAAGACCTTCTCACCTTTTTAACACTTCTACATTACTGATTAACTTGCATAAACTGTAGGTTTTTATATATTTTTTAAATTGAGTGCATTTATTTTCCCCTTGAGCGAGTCCTGTCTTTTTTCCACAACTCTTCTGCTTTCTAATACATAGCTGATGCATCTTCCTCCAGATCCTAAATAACTGTGATTATCACCATGTAGGATAACTTTGCATATACTTAAAAAATTAAACTTCAGTCACGGAAGACCATATGGGTCATTTATTAAATTTCGCTCAAATTCAAGAGATGAATATGCAGAAAATAATGTAAAGGGACAAATTCTCCTTTTTTTTTTTTTTTTTGTTTATAATTTTATTATGTTTCCCATCACTGGGGATGTTGGTATACTGCAGGGATAACTCAAATTTGGCTGGTCTCTGTGCACATTCTTTCCAGTTCCAGCAAAGGATAAGGCTGGAGGGCTCAGGCTGAAAAAAAAAGTGTTTTGAAGACTGTTGCCATTGATCGTATAGAGGAGCATCATTCTAGTGCTATGAAGTTGCTTTTTTTAATCATTTTAAGCTGAAAAGAGGGATGTCAAGTCATCAATTAATCCTGACAGCATCCTTCTGTGGTGAAAAAATAATACTCTCACACCCATTTTATAAACAGAAAATCTGAGGCAGAGATAATGGAGGTTCAGAGCTGGTGGTGCTGATACCACCACCCTCTCATTCCTCATTGCAAGGACAGTCTTGAAAGTTTTATTTTCGATTAAAAAGGGAAGTCACTAAATCAGGCTGAACTCTGGGCCACATTCCCATAACCAGACTGCTAAAGCTCAGCCAGTTCTTAAGAGAGACTTCAAATGCCTCTATTAAAATGTTTTAAACTAAAACAAAAAAAAAAAAAAAAAAGGTAAGAAACTTGAGTGTGCAGTATTGAAACATGGAGATTAAACGTCTCCAGTGACAGTGCTCTCAAATCCAAGTATAGGTGTGGTGCCTGTGTCTGTTTTGTAGCACTTACAACTGGAGTTTGGCTATTCTGATGTTTTCGTGTTCTTACAATGAAATTTAGAGCATCTTCAGACATGCTCAGTTCTTATTTTTCCATTGCCAGATGCATATGAAATCAAGTAAAAATACAAGAGCATTTCAAATGCCTAAAGTAAACAACAAAGCCAGATCCTGGAAGCACATTAGCTTGATTTTTTCCCATAGTATCTTAAAAGAAAAGTTTTCACTTTACTATCAGGCTTTTATACAGTTTTTCTGTTCTTATTAAGGAAATATAATATTAAGGGAATATATAATTAATATTATTTAATAAAGCTCAAAAATGCAACAGATGCAGCCAAAAGTGCACATCATTTTGAGCAGATCTTTACAGAACAGACATTCCATATTGTGTTCATCTTTTTCCACAATCACTGCTATGGCAATCTGGTGCGTTCAGCAGTTGTTGCTGAGTAAGGCAGACTGGATTGTATATGATTTTCTCCATGTCAGCCAAGAAACAGAGCTCTCTTCTTTTTGATGCAGTAAAGAGGTGGTCTTGTGCTATTTATTGCTTTCTCCTAGGAGCAGCTATACTTTACCAACTTGCAGTAATAATAATAATATACTGCAATCTGTAGGTGCATGTGCTAGAACCTTTCTGTAGGTCTTAACCAAAAATAAAATGGTTATGGTGTTGAAAAGTCATGGAGGCTGGGAAATTGAATAAGATGACCTCCCAAATAGAAAAGCTACAAGATTCACAAAGTGTGTCATTAAAATCTGTATCACCTAAAAGCAAGGTATTTTAAAAGGGGGTATGGAAGGAGGATCACCTAAAGCAGAAAACCCATAAGAGAAGCTCCAGTTCCAGCAGAGGAAACGTTTCTCCTTTCAGCATTCCTTCTGGGTGCCAAATTTTCCTTCTGTTCTTCCCCACCTATTAAACAAAGCTGCAACTTCCAATTCCTATCAGTTTTCCTAAATTTGTGCAGCTTATGTGGCTTCGATGAGCTGTAAGGCTGCATATTCTCTTGCCAGCTCCTTGACAGTGTGGCTCCAACAGCATCCTCCACTTTTGGCTGCCTCTGGGACCCCTGGTCTCTTCTGGAAAGCGAGAAGGAAAGCATATCCTATGCTGGAAGGACTTTTTGTGACTGCAGAGCTGATAGTAGGGCTGTGAAGAGCTTGGAAGGCTCTGTAAGCATCGCAGCTCAGTCTGTCAAGGCTGCCTCCTCTGTGTATGGGGATGTTTTGGTCCATCTCAGGATGAGCTGGGCATCACTCAGCATCAGATACAGAATGGGGGCTCATCAGGATCACTTCTAAAGCACCCACAAAAGCCTGCCTTGGGGAATCTGTGGCTAACAGGAAACGTTATCACATTATCATGAATTACACTGCCTTCCAGCATCATAGCTATTTTCTTTGCAAACTTGCACATTCGTGGTAGAGTTGTTTTCTTCTAGCCAAGTCTGAGTCTTCTCTTATAATCCCATTTTTCCTCTTTCAGCTGGCCATTCAGAGGCAACTAAAATACAGACAACACATTTTTGCCCTTCACTTACCTACCAAAAAAAGGTGGCCATTTTAAGCATGAGGATGCAAGCAAACTAGTAGGCGGTACTGGAATCTTTGCAACGGGAAGAAATTCTCTCTCCAAGCCAGTGCTCGTATCCACTTCTGTTACTGGAACTGCCATGAAAACTCCTGGTTCACAGATGTGAAACAAATTACGAAGCTTATGCAGTTGCATTCCTCCTTATTATTGGGAACAAAACAAATCTGGAAGATGGAGGACTTCTTAAAGTAATTATTGTCTGCCTTTATTTTAAGAAAATGCAACTAATTCTGAAAACTCTTCAATTCCTGAAGATTTTTCAGCCTAGAGAAGTCACATTAATTATAAGATTAATTTGTTTTAATTCCCTAAACCAAAAATATTGACTGAATGAGAAATTAACACATGTAGAGCTGCAGATGTCATTTGGCTTCAGATTTCCTGAATTATATAATTATTATCTTTCGTATAACAGTGTGACAAACCTACAGATTCATTCTACAAGATTAGTCTGTGAAGAAAGACACCAGGGCAGCTGAGCTATAGATTTTCCATTAATACAGGAAGGAAAATAGTGGAATTTTCTAAATAATAAATAAAACCAAAATATTTTAAAGGCATGTGGTGCACATCTGTCTGAAATACAGTAATTGAAAGCAGAGTAATTAAATGCAAGATATAATGGTCACCTTAGAGTGGGAGCATTGTTTCATTTTAAGTATAACTCAGCAAATTTGGGAAATTTAGATAATCTGTGGCACCTTTTTGAACTTTTCATTCTGTGCTAGAAGATAGATTAACAAACTGACTTTTTATTTACTTTTTGGATAACCAGCCTTGTGTTTCAAGGCATTGTCATATTCATTCAAACCTTTAATATTATCTTCAGCTGAAATTATGAGCGTTTTTTGTTTTAACTTCCAGTTAACTCCTTAAAAGTCTAAAGGTAGAAGATGCCTTGTGTTATTCCTTTCTTTTTTACCTAAATGGATCATAAGTTTTTCATGAATATAGCATGGTTTCATATAATTCCAGTTTGGGAAATCCTGTGGTTTCGGTAAAAGTTTTTTGAGTCACCTCTTCCTCTTGAAATGGAGATTGTATGCATACTTTTAGAGAAAAAAAAAAACAAAAGAAAAAAATAAATTGGTTTTTTTTTTCCTACCCTACCCTTTTTTTAATATGATTTTTGCCTTAAGGTGGGTGAGATATTACTCAGTCCTTCTCACTTTCAGGTATGGTAATTTGAAGAGTTAAAGGCATCATTTGAAGACAGGAAAGGAGGTCTGGTTAAACTGAGTTCTGATCCCAAGAGCTGCACTGAGTAAAATGTTTAACCATGAAATGAAGCAAGGAGGGAAACTGCTGAAGATGTTTAGTCCCCAGAAGTACTATTCAAGAGTACTATTCTGATAAACAAAAAAAAGGGAAACAAAAAACAGTTCTACAAGTAAATATAAATGATGCTGATATAAGTTCTGTTTATTTTAAGGGAACATGACAAAGGGCCTGAAACTTTCTTTGAAGTCCTGCTGAAACTGAAAGAAAAAGATCTACCTTTTCATGTGTCCATTCTTGGAGAGGCTTTCAGTGAAATTCCAGGTACTCTTATTTTTTCTTTACTGTAATGTTAGTATAAAGTAGATATTTCCAGAAGTAATTCTCATGTGCACATTATATTAGTGAAAAGAACGTGTTTAAAATCTTCATAGTTATAAAACTAAATAACATAAATATGTTGTAAAATTGAAATTATTAAAAACAGTAAGCATCTTTGATTTTACTTGGAGGTACAAAACCTTATTTATGACTTGTGTTTCAGTAACACTTCTGTATTTATTTATATAGAGAGATAGGTGTGAGTGAGTGGATGGTTCAGGTAGGAAACAATCTTTCAGGTCAGGGTCACTCATCTGAAATCCAGACTGAGATTTTAGCAGGAGAAAACAGTTAGTTCCCTTTCAAATTCAAGGTTAAGGACTTCTGTGGAGACTTCTGGTTTGTATCTGACATGAAAGTGGTCATTAATCTTTAATATTTTTATACCAGTCTTTTGCATACTCTTTCCATTTCTTGGTTTCTGATAACCACTCCTCTGTAAACAGTTTCATCCATCTGAAAAAGAAATAGGTTTTAGTCTGAATACACACAGCTTTGTGCCTGAGATATTTTGACAGTAAAGAGAATAGTCAAATCCTATACCGGGTGGACTTGTCGTAAATGAAATCTTTAAAAAATGTACGTTAATAATGAGTAAGCTTCACAATATGTGATGTCATAGCTCATACGTGATTTCCAAAGATGCACTAGGCATCCCTCCATTTCTTCAGTCCATAAAAATAGACTTGGGATTAGTGTATTTGTCAGTTCTGTTGTATTGCTGCCTGCTGGACTGGTGATATTTCAGTTGGTTTAGATTTGGTTTCACAGTTTTTAAGACACGAAGAAATTGATCAGATCCAAATAAGTTTTGGGTCCCCAACTGTGGCACAACTGGTTTGGAAAAAAAGATAACAGTTTGGTAGCAGAAAATTCTTTGTGTTTTCTGTCCACTTCTTTTTAGACAGTTTCTGAAAGCCTGTTCTTCTAGGCAAGCCTTATCACAGATCCCAAGGCAATGTTGCTTTCCAGACTGAATGCACCAGATTTCTTAGAAGGAGAAATTTCTAAGGAATATGTGACAGATAGGAATGTATGATGGTGCACTGTGGGAACAGATTCTATTGACACTCATTTTGGATGTTGTTACATATCTCATTTGTGGCTTCAGTACTTATGAATAATGTAGATCATCTTAAATTTATGTCAGTATATCAAATCTATATGCCATACCTCTTGTCTTGTCAATTCATTCATCCTCATGTATAAATAGATTCTATATAAAGGGCAACATGCTGAAATGTGTCTCATCACCATGTATTTGATAGGGCCATATTCATACAAATGACATATGCAGGTCATTGCTAACAAGTACCAATAAAACCTGTTGCACATACTTTACGGAAAAATCTATTTTAGAGATGTTTTACAATTTTTTTAATTTTTTTTTTATAAATTATGGACACTGTGCTTCCTCTCCCTCCAGTTATGGGACCAAATTCCCTCAGTATTATAAATGTCACCTTTACAGTCATTGCTAAGAGAAAAAGTGCTTAATGTATTTTATAATTCAGTAATCATTCTTTTTCTTTTTGGAAAACCCAACTTTTTCAGTAGCTTACTGGTTTGAAATAAACAGCAAATATCCAATAAGAAGTTAAGAAATGTTTAATTTTCAGTAGTGCTAAAGCTTGAGCTTAGGCTCTGAAGGAATCAAGAGATACAATTTAGGGCTTCAGGCAAGTATGCTTCAGGGGGCAGTTCCTCCCCTGTGGAAGAGAACAAGTATCTCCATGACTGGCTCTTGTTTGGACTTTGTCAGTGGTGAAGGAGTTCAGGGTGGCAAGTATCCAACCAATAACTAAGAAGTTCCTCATTATGAGTGGCAGTTGTGTCTATCTCATTGTTGATCTTCATGCACAAGCATCGTTAGAGGTTTAAGACCCTTTTCTGTCATTGGTACTCCTCTGACCTAGTATATAAGCTGCATTTTCAGGGTAGGTTTATGGTACATCAAATTTTGGCTTTATAAAGGTAGCAGCAGAGCAATGTGCGTGTTTGGAAGGCTGACACAGATATCTGAGACCCATACCAAGAAGCAGCATCTTTTTATCGTTACTGTAATGCTGGTACAGGCTGCCCCAATCAACCTGCTGTCCTCCAGCCATCCCAACCCTCCTCATTCCCCTTTCAACTTCCACCCCTTGAGCTCTGAAATAGACTCAGATGACCCTCATAAACTTATCCTAGAATGGTTTGGGTTGGAAGGGACCTTAAATATAGTTCCAACCCCCCAGCTATGGGTGGACACCTTCCACTAGACCAGATTGCTCCAAGCCC